CTAACTAATAAAACAAAACTAATTACAAGCTGTTCATTACAGGTGAACCTTTCCAAGAAGTCACCCGGGAACTAAGCAGATCGGAGACCTTTATCGTCCGTGATTCCAATAATTAAAACTATTATAAAAAACGGGGTACTTTTTTAACAAAATAACAAGATTTTCGGGAGGATACATCCGACATTTGCAACCCGATGCAATTCTCAAAAAGGAATATTGCACCGCAATAAAAAAAGAAATATAACTGAAAGTGCTCTCAACTGGTGCAGCGTCAATCGAAAAGAATTTACAATTTTGTCAAGTTTTTCAGGTTTGTCGCCACGAGCGAGTAGTTATTTAGTGACGCAGGTTTGATTTACGACCCGTTAGGAAACAGGCTGTAACCCGTAAAAAGAGCAAAATTACTCTTTCTTAAATACAATGTTCCAATTTTTTAAATTTAAGTACTAAATAAAAAAACAATTAATATGACTAACTTTTCCATTTTTTATTTACCTAAATCACCTAATGTACTCACCAAATTATTTCTTAAAAATATTTAACATCCGCATTCGCATCCTCATCCGCGGATGTTAGCTTTTAAACATCCGCATCCGCGGATGTCTAAAATTCCACGTTCGCAACATCCCTAGTATGTACATATAGATCGTTCTATTTTTAAAAGTGAGGTGTCAAATGACAGGGCTTGGTCTGTAGATTTGAAATCAAGTTTTATTTTTTTTTGAAACGGGTTGCCACCTGTCACTAATTTTATAAAAATTATTTAAAATGTTAAATGAACTAGATATTACAATATGGGTATCAACGTCACGTAGAAAGGTTGCCACATGTTTAAAAAATCAAACTGACTTTAATTAAGGGAATAAGGCATATATGTAGTACTTTTATATTGCTAGTAAATTCAAATTCCATTCCCCAACATCAGAGTGTTGATATATTCAAAAAAGAAAGAGAGATCCGATAAGAGAATGTACTCAAACAGACATTTTTACTTTTCAAAATTCAGGAGCGGTTTAACAAATTCTTGTTGAAAAATAATTCACATGAAAAATTAACAAAAAATACAATATTTGTATATCTATGAGAAACACTGCAGCGGCTGTGGTAGCAAAAGATAAAGGTACCAGTTACAGAAGAACTTGGCATCAGTTGGCATTTCCAGTTGGCGTCAATTCATGGCGGAATTATACCAGGTGAAGCAAAAAATTTAGGATTTTTTTTCAAAACTTACTTCTTGAAGCAGAAATACTCTAGGACCTAGAGTCTAGATGAACAAAAGTCTGACAGAGAGTAACTATTTAGAAAATGAAAGCAAATTTTTGCCGAAATGCCGATTCAGAATAAGAAAATAGGCGCAGAGTTAAATGCTTCGATTCCGAAGCGCCCGTTCCATGCGTTCCTCAACTTGTCAAGTCAACTCCGCACAGGTGAAAACACAGTCTAAGAGCGTTTATGCATCAAAATTTAATTTTGAACAAAATTAGTTTGCGTTTACTGCGGTATGAAGGAAACATGAGACCGTAAAATTTGTGTTTGTTTGTTTAATTCTCTGAACCGCCCCTGTTATGACATTGCACTTCATTCTATGTAGTAGTTTATAAATATACACGTATACTTCTACAATCACACATTTTCATAGGCTGTCTTTCTTTGATTTCGAATTGAAAACACATAGTGATTATAGCCGTATTCGTTTCGTCATCCGTTAGCTAGTGGCGAATCGATGAAGCAACTGGAATAGATAAACATACGTTGGCAGCACTGAAAAGGATATGCCAAAAGTTACATTTGTTTGGGAGCACTTAATGAGTTGCTTGGCAGAACTAAGTTATTTAACAGTTCATAATGAAAACAAATCGGGGAAAAAATATTTAAAATTTAAAATTTTTTTATTAAATTTACGTTTAAAACGAAAAATGGACAACGAGCGACTAACTTTGGTAAGCAATTGCTTTTATTTGTAATTGAGATGTACAAATGCAATCTAAAATAACTTTTCAGGTTTCCCAATGGTTTGAAAATGAAGAAGTGCTCATGAGCGGGAGTGCAGGTATATTTGCGGTCTTAAACACCGTCCCTTCCAGCTCCAGCTCAGACTCTTTATCAAGCTCAGAAGAGTCCGAACGAGAAGAAGCAAGTAAATGCTCAAACTTTTGCGAGGTTATAGAAGGATGTTCAGAAAAAGAATTTAAATCGCACGGAGTCGTGATATCTTCTTTTTTCTTCCAGCCGTCTCTCATTCGGTTTTCATTTCTCTTCATAATACCTTTCTCGGGCTGTTTTCCTGCGACGACTTGAAACTGATTGTGAAGAATCGATTTGAGAAGATAGTGGGGGAGGGTGTATAACATAATCCAGACAATCAAAATCCAGAAATTCAAAATGCGGACAATCAAAATACAGACAAATCAAAAGCCAGACAAATCAAAATACAGACAAATCAAAATACAGACAAATCAAAATACAGACAAATCAAAATACAGACAAATAAAAACACAGACAAATCAAAATGCAGACAACAAATTAAAATAATATAAATTTTTTTAGAATGTTTTCTATTTAAAAAAGTGGCGGAAATTTTCAGTATATATTTAAATATTGTTTCTTTTTTTTGTTAAAGAAAGCGCCGCAGGCGAAAATTTGGAATAAAAAATCGCGCGATTTTTTATTCCAAATTTTCAGTATTTCTTAAAATATAATTTAATATAAAAAAAAGCGCCGCAGGCGAAAATTTGGAATAAAAAATCGCGCGATTTTTTATTCCAAATTTTCAGTATTTCTTAAAATATAATTTAATATAAAAAAGCGCCGCAGGCGAAAATAAAAAATAAATAAATTCCGGTACACTGAAATTGTTTTGATGAAGAAGGTTAGGGGTGGATTCGGGAATTTTTTAGAAAAGTATTCCCCGATTTGGGGCGGTTTGAGGAGTATGAAAAGAAAGGGGGCAATTCCCTGATGACGGAAACCGGCTATAGTGGCCACAGTATTTTTGCGCAGATCTCTCTGCGAGCCTAACTACGACTTAACAGAAACGATTTTGATTTGCAGAAATTGTATACATTTTTTCCCCTCATGTCTGTATTTTGATTTGTCAGTATTTTAATTTGTCGGTATTTTGATTTGTCTGTATTTTGACTTGTCGGTATTTTGATTTGTCTGTATTTTGATTTGTCTGTATTTTGATTTGTCTGTATTTTGATTTGCCGGTATTTTGATTTGTCTGTATTTTGATTTTTCTGCATTTTTGAATTTTGTCTGTATTTTGATATGTCTGGATTTTGAATTTCCGGATTATGAATGTAACCGAGTGGGGGAAGCGGGACGGTGTGATGTTGCTGGCGTTGGAGATACTCCTTGCCTGTAGAATGGTGTGTGAAATATTGGTGCTGCTGAATGGTGGGAGGAGACTAGCTGTTGAGTTGGTGCTGGTTCCGAAGGAGATGGCACTGCCAGCGCTTGTGCTTGCACAGTGCCCGCATTAAGGGTGTGCTTATTGGCAACCAGAGCGCTATTACCGAAAATCTCCTCCATCTCCTCCATATAAGGGGCAACACATGGAGTAGCTCCAGTCCTTCCAGCGTTGTCCTTCGCGCACTTGAAGGCAGACAACAAAGTCCGCATTTTGCCTTCTAATGCAACCGGGGTTGTGGAAGTGTCCTATATAAAAATAAAACTAATTAAAAAAACACAAATTAAAACCACTCATTCAACTTACTGTGAAGCCTTGTGCTACCATGTCTTCCAAAACATGAGCATAGGCATTTCTTTTTTTCCTAGTGTTAAGAAACTCCTCCTTCCGGGCCAAGTAGCACTTCAGCAAACCTTTGGTTTCGACCACTCTCCACACCTTGCGTTTCCTTTAAAAAATGCTTGTTAATTTCTTATATTAAATTATTTAAAAACAAAAACTAAATATTTACGATTTATCTTCTGTTGCCATTTTTGATTTTAAATTCTGTTTACTGTTTCAAAAATGTTAAATTTGAAATTGTCATGTTTGGCAGTAAAAAACTAAAATTAGAAAATAAACTTGGTAGCATTGAGGGAAGCTGTTATACCAGTTTTATGAGGTGTCACCATGCTCGTCAGTGCTAGCTAACTTTGTTGTTGCTTTCACATACAAATTTTCTGACAAGCGAGCAGAGCTCTAACATAGCGAGCAGAGAAGTGGCGAAACGAATGCGCCTTATATTGTACTAGCAATATAGAAGTATTACATATATGGAATAAGGTAACTGAAATATGTATATCAATATGGGTATCAGACAAAATAAAAAATTGGTCATATTAAGCAAGAAATAAGTGAAGAGTAAAAGCATTCCTTAGTTAATTTAAGATCATCAATGATTGACAATGTACGTATTTGTAATAAAATAACAAAAACGATGTTGTAAACCTTTGGTTTAACACAATTATTATTTTAGTTTAACTAAACTTGACTTTACAAACAGGTGGCAACCCTTTTCTTAGTATTTTCAAGCTAAAACAGTCTTAAACCTCTTTCGTCTGACTCTCATATGGTGATACCTATCTATTTAAATAACCTAACTTCTTTAATTCCAATGTAATCTGATTTTTTTAACAGGTGGCGACCTTCTACATGTAGTTAAGAATTAAACCCTTTTTATACACATTTCGATTGATACCCATCTCTTAATAACTCATTTAACTCTTTAAAAATAATAAATCCCTATTGTCTACAGGTCAAGACTTTTATCCTACATTTCATTTTTGAAAATAGAACGAATCGTGCAGATCTGATGACACCGACAAAAAATTAAAAAATGATTTTATGCATAAGCAAAAAAACGCATTACTTCAAAAAGTGCAACAAATGAGCAAGTTTTTATTTCTTCCTTCAAAAGATAAAAACCCGTACTATTTAATAAAATAATAAAAAAATAACATATTTTTACATATTTTTTTTTATTCGTTCCATTAAAATTTAAAATTCTTTTTGAATTTCGATAAAAAAAATGGTTTTTCTGGAATACCGCAGGGACACCCTGTGTTTAGTTTTATTCCAATTATTTTAATCCTGTAGCTCACTACTATCTATATGAAAATAAAAAACGTCAAACAAACATTTTATTTCAAAGAATGTATTTCTGACATTTGTTTCCGTGAAAAGCTTACGCCCCACCATGCAAAACATGAGAAATAGGCGACAATCGTCCATGGCAACAAATTGGCGACTCGCCGATTTATTGCCGTAGGGAGAAATCGGAAGCATTATTTCTTTTATGTCATTTTAGGAATATGTATTCAAAAATTCCCAGACTGATGAACTCCGCGTCAACAGGATTCTTCAAAAACATATAATTTATGCCCAAGAAAGGGTTGAAAAATTAGGAAGCTCCATAGCGACGAAAATAGTTAATTTCGTTTACAAATTATAAGTTTGAGTTCAAAAACAAATGAAACATTGAGAAAAAATAAAATTGTTGCAAGAAATTATTATTTAAATATCGCTTGTAGCAATAATAAAACGACTCATTCAGGTAATAAGAAAACAACTCGCCCAGGCGCGTTGCCTGTGGCGGACGTTTTAGAGCGACTGGTAATAAGAAATCGATACGATGGCGATATTGCCGGCAATAAATTTGTTGCTTAGGGCGACAAGTTTTCTTATGTCGGGCAACAAAAATTGTCTGGTGGGGCATGACTATGCTCTTATTAATATTCTTAATTTTATAAATTTGTCGACTTTAGTGGCGGCATATAATTTCTTTTATAGGGAAATTTCTATTTAATTCTTTTTAGTGGTTAAATTACCTTTACAAAAATACCAAGCACGTTCACATTGCAGACAACGAATTTTTCGATTTTTGCCCAATTCGACTCAAGAAAATTTCTTTTCCATCTCTTGTACATCATTTTATTTGGAATTTTTGCATTTCTTGAGAGCTGCATACTGCCCTTTACTTTACAAACCGATTTTTCACTTCAACGCTAGTTTTGTATTGAGGAACGAAAAAGTTATTATTAGGCGCCGCGAAAAAAGGGAGCATTTCCTATTTTTGACTATAACTACGGGAAAATGAGTTTATCTTAAATAAAATGCTGTGAATCGCAGATCTCCAGTGGGTTTAAATTTGACTCAGCTGGAGAGGTATAGCAAAATACATTGTCGTCCCAACCAGTCTAAGGCTAACAGCCAATTTCACGTAAGCAATTTAAGTGAAAAATGATTTCAACTTTTTGAATTTTATACGGAAATTGACAAAAAATAAAAAAGCATTTTCCATTTAAGTTGCTGGCGAAATCGGCAGTAAGCAATTGGTTTCATATTTAAATAAAAATACAGAAAAAAAAAAAAATTCTATTTAAAATTTTCGGTGGGCGGGACGACAATGTATGGCTAGTGTAAAATTATATTTAACCTACTCAACAAAAACATTTTAAATATATGTATTAGACATGCCTTTTAAGGTATCAATCGGTTAACGGCTCCCGATTAGGCCTTAAATTGCATTTTCATAAGGCGGAACGGAATATTTATTGATTAATTCAATTTATATATCGATTGTAACAATTTGTGTAGGTATGCGCATTAAATACTGCCCACAGTCCCTGCTTTAAAATAGACTTTTCACTTTGTTATTCTCTCAGCGCGCGCATTCACAATAGCTGCAGAGTTTTGCGAATTCTCATGGCTTATTTACAAATGTACTTGTTACTTGGATAATTAGTAGCATTGGCCGCAGACAAACAGTGGGCGATGAGAGCTGGACGCGGTCACTAGACTTTTAAAGGTTCTTTTCTTGACTTATGTGAGTGTTGGTTGATTTTAGTGAATACATAAAGTAATTGACTAGTTAAAAAAAAATAACATAAAAATAAAATTAAGATCTGCGATAAAAATTACGGTAGTAGTGCACTTTAGCGAAAGTAGGTCAAAATGGACGGACAAGTTCGAGAGTGGTATCAATCGACGCGTCTTAACGCCAATAATAACAATCCGGAAATTAACATTTTTAATTCATTAAAGAGTTATTTGCAAAAAACACCCTTGTACTTTCCGCACTATGTTTTGATGAATTTCACGCAAATGAATGGAATAAATGAACCCAATTTAACACGTATTTATTAGTTTTTATACATTTGTGATGTTTTAAGTGTACACTTTCGCGAAATTCTGTATTTAATAGCAATATTCAGATGGTGAAAATCCACACTACAATCTTGTGTAGTTAATATAAATAGGATGGAGGAAAACTGGTGCTGCCACTCTATTAATACAATTTGTATTTCAACTTTAAAAACACCCAAATAATGGACAAGAAATATACTTTTGTGAAAAGGGGATTTCTGTTCCTTTTTGTCGCACGCAGAAAGTAGAATTCTACGTAGTGAGGGTTATAATCTCTAAGCGCGGCCGAAGGCCGCCTACGCAGAAAGGTTTTCTCTGCAAAAGGTGTTCTGCCCCTTTTCTTTGGCACCACAGAAAGGAGCATTCTACGTTGTGAGGGTTATAATCCCTAAGCGCGGCCGAAGGCCGCCTACGCAAAAAGGAGTTGGATGCACAAACACTTTTTTAATGTAATGTAATGTAAAGTAATGAATATGTGTTCAGTTGAGTTCATTTACTCCATTTATTAGCGTCAAATTCATCAAAACATAGTGCGAAAAGTGCAAGTGTTTTTTGCGAATAACTCTTTAATGAATTAAAAATGTGAATTTCCGGTCTCGGATTATTGTTGTGTGCATTAAAACGCGTCGATTGGTAACTCTCTTGAATTTTTTCATAAATTTTGGCCTACTTTCGCTAAAGTGCACTTTTACCGAAATTACGAAATTTATGTGTTTTAGTGCATTTTATTGCTACACATTTGTGAATACAATCTAAATTATTTCTTCGTAATTCCATAAATTTATTGACTAATTCAATAAAAGAACGCACGTGTATACGAAAATAAATATATTATTATATATGTGTGTATCTACATTAGGGTGGTCAAAAAATATATTTGCAAATTTACTTTTTTGATATTTCCCGCTGCCACCCCCCAGAACTGAAAAATATCAAAAATAAGGAGACACGTATTTTTATACCCGAGCGCACTTGTGCACAAGGGTATTATAACTTTGTTTACATAGCAGTCGTTTGTAACAGGCAAAACGATTCGATCAGAATGAAAAAAGAAATCGTCAATCAATACCCAAGCTAATTTATCCAAAATTGATGTTTGTTGTAATTCGTTAGCAAAAAATACGCTTATAATAAAATTTTGGGAATCTCGGTATGATTATTGTGCTTGCCACATAAATGCAAAAGGGTGAAAGTTATTGAAATCTGACTAAAACTACGCCCACTTTTCTATAACGTAAATTTGAGAAATGCTTGAAACTACGATATTTCGAAATTTAAGGACGCTAATTTTACTCAAAATTTATACTAACAACAATCCTTTAAAAAGAAGTAACATTTTTATGGAATTTTGGAAAATGGGCGTGATGCCGCTCACATACATCTATATAAGTTTATCTCATTATATCTTAACTGATCGTTCTATCGAAGGTGTTTGAAATAGCCGTAAAACAAGGGTGGTTCACCATGTAGCGGTAGTTTTCGGAAAGGTGAAAAAAACTATAATGAATACTTGCGCCGGGTATTTAATGTTCGGCTCCGACCGAACTTATGACTTTTTTACTTGTTTTATTTTGAAATCGGTTAATATTTACCCGTGCCGCCGGTGCTTTGATGCTCACATGTATTTTACATGGGGAAAATAAATTTTTTCGTAAAAAAGTGGCAACCCCGTTCAAAAATATATTTAAGTCTTCAAACGCCTTTAGTTTTGATGAAGAATTATTCTAATTATTTTATCGAGCTTTTAAATAATTTTAAATTTTCAAATATCTGCCAACCCTATTTTTCAAATTTGTTTACCACATAGCCACAGAAATAACAGAGTAGAATGGAAAAAAATAAACCTA